AATGCTGCATGTAAACATACTACAAAAGCAAAAATGTAATTTGTAGTCTTATCTTTGGTCACCTGCTAAACTTCCCTACTTTCTACTACCCTCTCAACCGCTTTTCCTTTTACCAACGTTTTCTCTTTTAATTCTCCTCTTTCTAACTCCTGGCACTCCTCTATGAAGTGTTTCAATGTCCCTATTTGGAGTTTACACAATCCGCACCTTCTGTCCTTCTCTCTTAACAGATATATGTTTCCCTCTTCTAAATTTTCACATCTTATCCTGGCTATACATTCTTGGCTATCTCATTTTCCTATTTTGGTTAAATATTCTGAACGTAGTGCTGTGACAATGTATTTATATCTGCTGTTGTATTTTCTCTTATTTTATATTATATTGCACATGTTTTTGCACTTTTTTATCTCTCTCCCTTAGCTCTTTCACTATGTCTCTCTCTCTCTCTTTTTCTCTTAACCTCTTGACTTCTGCTTGACTATAACCATTTCTCCTCTGTCACAATGTATTTATATCTGCTGTTGTACTTGGCTTCTCTTATTTTATATTATATTGCACATGTTTTTGCACTTGTTTATCTCTCTCCCTTAACTCTTTCACTACATCTTTCTCTTAACTCCTCGACTTCTGCGTGACTTATAGTCATTTCTCCTCGGATAATCCATTCTTTCTTTGATATTTCTGGTCTCTTTCATTACTCTCTCCTTTTCTAAATGTCAAGATACAATGGGCTCTATATTGTGGCGTAAACGTAATTTTTTTTATATTATTAATTGAATAGATAGAAGTTTCATTTTTTAAATGGAACTATATACAATTTTTGGGAAGATCATGCGATAGAGCTTTTCATAACGAATTCATTAACCCTTAATCTATTTACCCGATTTTTGTTATTCTTTCAAATAGAACGCTTCGAAATTTACTGATTTTCAGCGGAAAAATCTCGGTTTGAGTGACAAATCATAAAAACGGGTTCTATTGTTGCGGTGTTTCACTCTGCTTGTTGAAACCGATAGGCTATCGGCGATAACAAGCGAATGGAAAGTATTATCCATCACGGTCTACGTTTGAGGATGCGGCAAACTTTTACTGGTGGTTGGAAGAAGTTCCGAAGCTTATTTTCTTGTGAGGTCGTAAAATCGGTCGGAAATCGATCTTTACAACTTAAGCCGACCGCAATTAGTAATCTGACACCTTTTTAGACAATGACGAAGCCAGACTTTTCGTTCAGGACCATCGATATCGGAATTAGGAGTTTCATATTTCAATAACTTTATTCTTCTTATGTATGTTCACACATAATTCTGTAACGGATAGACCAATTACCATAAAACTATTTCGTTTTGTAAAGTACATTCTGGGGGAGGAGTTGTAGTCTAGTTTTATAAAACTGACTCAAATATTCATGTTTTAAACTAATAACAATGACGAAAAGTATTACTTTTTACTTTCTAATACTTTTCTTTTAAGGAGGTTCAATTTTGTCCACTTTCTTCAATTTTTTTATTTAAGAAGCTTCCTCTTCCTTGGATTGTATGTGTGTAATATTAAGTTTAGAGAGCATCTTTTAACAAATTGCAGCATGATTGGATCAGCAATTTGTTAAATGACTTTGCTTATTGAAAATACTGTGGCAGGTAGGAACTTAGTTAACCAATCATCGTCAAAAGTTTTTGGTTTTTCCAGTTTGGAAAAATCCGAGATACTCATAATCAATGACCTGTGCCAATAAAGGAATAACTGCTGTTTCGATTTACGACCTCACAAGATCCCTACTAGCAACTATACATGCGTTTTAGGTTGAAATATTGAAAGAATACTCTTAAAATATTTATAAACGCATATTGATCATTGTCATCTGGTTAAGATAAGAAAATATATATCATTAATATAACAAACATGTAAGTGGTAGTCGAATTCAAATAAAAATGTCTGCAACGGTTAGCAATCAGAGACTTTACTCGCTCGGTCATGGCTCTGTTAAAAACGTCACTCATACCTTTAAATGTAAAGCACACACTAATTTTAAATGACGAAGTTGATATAGCTTCTTTCATTTCTCTGCTGTTTCACTCAATATAACGTCATTGAACATAGCGTGAAGCACTAATTAAATAAAGGTTATACAAAAGTTCGACCTTATAAGTTATTTTAATGAGCAAGAAGCGACGAAAATATCGGTTTTTAAGGTTTTTAAGAATGGCGCACTAATGATAAAAATCTGGAACAATTGAAGATGATAGTAACGATAATATCTGCTTACTGTAAAAATGTAATTTTAGTGCTCTGACAATATCTCTGCAAAATCGGGATTGTTCACTTTTTTCATTTATTTATTTTTTACAACATGGTTTATCAATTAAAAAATTTGAAAAAATTCTGTGAAACATATCTCATTGCTAGAATGGTGACAGACTTTTTTTTTCAAAACTTTCATGTAGGAGCAAACGGTTAACAATGTAATTTTCGACTTTTGTCCTTTAATCTTGTCATAATTTTTTTCATCAACCTATAATTATTATGATAATGTAAAAAGTTAACAACTATAGTCAAAATGTTGCACAATAATCTTCCAACTATACGAAATATTATTTAATATTATTACGACTTTTTATTTCGTTGTCGCTTTATGGAGTTCACTCCAAAGAAAAAAACAGCCAGTAAAGATCATTTAAATTTCGTGACCCGAAAGCTACTAATCAATACCACTTGACGATTATCTACACGTACTTATATCTACTATTTCGAGCAAATATAAATACCCATATATATTAAACGAATATAATCAACATTAAGAGTACAAAAATATTTGACAAAAGTTCTTGCTTCAAGTAGAACAACAATAAACAATTGTCCTTATGAACTACGTTGTTTTGACGCCGGTAATAACCGGTGAGAAAAGCCCGGTATAACTTGCAGAGGAGATTAGTTACGGGTTATTCGTACATTGAAGACGGTGATAGTATTATTTGAATCGCACAGTTGTGATATTCTGTAATCCAATCATGCCAATAATAGGCGGTTCGAAATTGTTGAAATTTGCAAGACTAACCGATAAAGCTTACGCGCCTACAAAAGGATCAAAAGTTGCTGCAGGCTATGATCTAAGAAGGTAAATTTTATCATTTTTGTATTTCACACGTGGAGTATGTTGAGTCATGTTTCAAACAACAATGAAAAGTATCATATTAGTTAAGTGACTTAGCATATTTACTCCAAATTTCTAAAATTCTCCAAGGCATAGATGTGTTCAATTTTTTTGAAACCAGTCAATGATGAATGTTATGTTACTTTATTTGACAGTGCCTATGAGTATGTTGTACCAGCACATGGCAAAGAATTAATTAAAACTGACATACAAGTTGAAGTTCCCGAAGGCACATATGGAAGAGTTGCACCACGATCAGGGCTAGCATGGAAAAATCACATCGATGTAGGTGCTGGTGTCATTGATGCAGACTATCGGTAAGTTATTTACAGATATCATAACCATATTAAAATAATAGGCATTAAACAAATTAAAAGTATCTGAAATTGGCATTAGTCTATCCACATATAGAAAGAAAACTCCACATATATTACAGTAAAATGAATAAAATAAATAAAATTAATAAAATTTCCATAGTAAGACTTTAAAATATTTCATGCACGTTTGCTCCAAATATTTGCATGAATATTCATGTTTCTTTCTAACAATAATAAAGTTTAAATACATACAGACAAAACATAGAAAGGTCTGAGTATACGTCATTGATATTGTTTTATTCTTACAATATTTCATTACTTATCTTTCTATTACTGCAAAAAATAATAAAAGACAGCAAAGTTAAAAGTACAAAAGATAAAAATACTTGAAATAAATTTCAAAGAATTCAATTTAAAACTATTAAGTTTATTTATATTTGTTTTAGAACATTGATTTAGTAAACTACATATAAAAAGTTTAAGTAAAAAAATATGAGACCATTTAAATTAAATAAGAACCTTGAGTATATAAATACAGTTTTTTTAAAAGACTATTATGTATTGAGATATATATTCTACTTTAGGGGAGAAATGTTTAAGAAACACTATTCTAAACAATATAACAAAAAAATAGGTGTATTCGAGCGCATTGTTTTCAATGGTTATATATGTGTGATTACACATTTATATGCTGGATATTGAAATCTATGGTCTTTTCAATATAGGGGAAATGTAGGAGTAGTACTATTTAATCATGGTAATGAGGAGTTTAAAGTTTCTCCTGGAGATCGTGTAGCACAATTGATTTGTGAGCGAATTATGTATCCTGAACTTGAAGAAGTCGATAGTTTACATGAGACAGAAAGAGGAGAAGGAGGTTTTGGTTCAACAGGAAAGAACTAACATAATCAGTTAGGTTTTTTGTATTACACCCCTGTACATCTATATCAACAAAGTATTCATATTTTTTAAATAAAATAAGTTTTGTATATACTGTGTCATTATTGTATACCCTTTATAAAAATAGTTCATTCTAATAATTTCTCAAAAACTAGGCATGGTATAATATAACGTGTCCTAATGATATTTTACAGTTTGTTGGGAAGACCTGTATCAAATCTAGTGTTAGTGTCTTGTCAAATGTATTACATTCTTAAACTCCTTATGTGTTGAATCACGCAGTAGTTTGAGAAGAACATTTTCTACCGTAGTTATATGACATCCTATTCCTCTCATTCTCTGTTAAAATAATGAAAATTAAACACAATATCCATCTTTTATATTTATATCTACATCTTTATACAAAATCTGATTTTCACCTCTAGAGAGTACATTTTCTCTTCTTGTGTGTGTGAAGTGGTACAATCTGCGACAACGTGTACTTCATACTCATTTATTTTTAGATCAATCGCAGTCAATTCTACGCATACATGGGTTTCCATACCAATTAAAATAACTGCATCTGGTTTCTCCCCAGAACAAATCACAGAAAGTTCTTTAAGTACCTAGAATGAATAAAAATGTTATTTAGAAAGGAAACAACTGAGGCAGTATTATATTATACATATGATATAAAGTTATTACTGGAGGTATATACATGCTACAATGAGTCTTTGCAAATGGTCCTTTGGCACTAGAAATATCTAATTCTGAAACTGTTTTTCCAAGAACCTCTGGAGTTTGTTCTGCGACGATCATTGGAACTTCCAACATTTTTAATCCAGTTATCTACACAAATTATGTATAATTAACCAATACGAAGGTTGTTAGTTATTTAGTTTAAACAAATTTACTTATTTGTAATTTTGGTACATTAAAGCACCAACCTTCTAAGTCCTTAACCTAATCATTATGCATAACGTAAGTCTCAACCTGCGAGCCATTACAATGCATCTATAAGAACTGTAGTAGCCATAATATTTTGCTTATTTTCATACCCTCACATTTATCATAATTATAAAGTAGGTTTGTAATTTATTAGATAAACAGTAAGCAAAATTTGTTGGTTAAAGAAGTTTGAACATACAGGTATATATTCTAAAGGTCATCAGGCTGAGACTTGGATTATTTTTGTACATAGATTTATTGTAGAGATGGTTTCATGAAGATTGGTATTTTAATGTAACAAAATGACAAGCAAGTGTCATTAAACTAGAACTATAAATGAATGAATGTGGAGACGCTGAATTAATTTCTATACTTGCATATGATTGAATCGAGTAACTGATATCTTTAATACTTACCAGTTTTGCCGAATTTTGTATAATTCTTTGGAAATCATATGTGATTCTGGCATTTCTTTCTTGCATGTCACATAATAGCAGGGCGCTTCTACCCTGTTTAAGGAGTGCTCTTGCAGCATTCATTATAATTATTTATCACTAAAATGTGCTATTAGTTGTTCCTTTAGCGGAGAGATTTGTTCATAACATTACCGGCTTTTATACATTTATAGTGTGACGCACTTGATATATTTATGTAATTTGTAAAAAATGTTAATGGGCAATCTTAGTTTTACTAACTTTGTACATGTTCCATTTTATTGACTTGAAACAAATACTCTCAATGTGCGAGCATCGTAAGTTGCAGTTTGAGTGCCGTGGCAAAAACTAGACTGTGACGTTAGATTCTGCTCCCAGTCGCGCATGCCCGTCAAGAAAAAATCATCGTTACGTGAGGAATGTAAATAGAACGTGTATGCGAAACGTACAGTGAAGAAAAAGTACGATTAGGAATTGTAGGAAAACAGTTATCGAAGGTCAGTCAAAGAGTAAAGATCAGAGTGTCGACTCTTTATACCAGGCAATGAATTAATAATTACCATACGAACAAGCAATATTAGCGTAATTGATAATTACATCAATAAATTGTTAATAGAAGATTCCTTTTAATAAAACATTTGCATTGCATTAAATAGGTACATTTACTTTTCATATATATAAAAAATGTTTGAGAACTGAGACGAACTGAAATAAATTTTTATTTTACATAAAAAATGATTGTGGAATGTAAATATTTGTATCATAGGTTATTCCATGTGAATATCATTGTTACAATATAATAACTATTAAGCTTGTATGTATTTTAAAATTCTAATTGTTCGTTTTTTGTCAAATCCTTTATTTCTATTTGAAACACAGTACCCAAAACCCTATTGCATAATTGTTTAAGTACTACTGCTTGTCGAAATAGATTCTTGAAGTACTATGGCTTGTTCCGCATATCCTTAGAAACTTGTAAAAAATGGCAAGTCCATTTAATTTTAATTGTATTTTATAGGATTAGTGTTATTTTTATAATATTTGTCAAAGTCGAAATCAAACATGTTATACTTTAAACTCTGTTCAAGTACTAAGTATTTTACGTTACTTAGAAAGCTTCGCCGGAAAAATCAAACGTTTATCAAAAATTACTGTCGCTTACAATTACAAGTGATCTCAGAATAGAATAATATACCACAACTGTATAATATTTAAGGGTTATTCGGTTGAAATATGTGTACAGTTTCCTCGGAAAAACGCCGGTGCGTGAAATGCGAACGTGCACCGGCAGCATTAAATTTGTAAAACATATTTTCTAATCTACGTTCCGTGGCGCACGGTTTAGTGATTTAAATCGACTCATTTTGGCGCATGCGCGATACCGCAGCGACCAAGGTGCGTGCGAGTCAGATACGAGAAGGCCACACATAGCGGCAGCAACGACCGGTGGTAGTGGTAGTCAAACAATGCTGTTCCGACTCGTCGGTTGCACGAACTCGTTTTGAGTTTACCAAGCTGTTCGACCAATCGGCAACGATGTTCGTGTACGGTACGTCGAGCGAGATCTCGCTGACGTTTTAATGATCGAAACTGCGAGTCGTTGTATTACGTTGATATAAAATTTGAATATACGTGTAGTTCGAGCCAAGACGAGTTTGTAAACAAAGAATGGCCGTGGAGCCTCGTGAGACTGAGCACACGAAGCCGCTGGTGCAGCTTTTTCCGAAAGCATCAGAGTGCGTGTACACGAGTTGTTACTGGTAAGTGTTCAACAAAATTCGCTCGACTTTCCCAGTGTCCGAGAAATTATCGATTTAATGAAATAAACGTGTCGTATTGCGGTATATCCCGTGGTGGATCGATACGTTGCAGTGGTACAGAGACGGCAGTGCGATATGCCGCCGCCATCTTTGATATGTATAAAATACATATCCGCGAATCACGGCGCATCGTCTGCTCGGTTTTGAAACGTACCGCGCGTAACGTATCTCTCTGCTTCCTGCTAGAACTTGCAACTTTTACCTTCGTTATCATTATTTAGCGAGAATATACGAGCGTACATGTTCCTGCAATTAATAATGCATGAAAGCTGCTACTGGATAATCCGCACGACACTATCGTGCTTCGCCTCGCACGAACGTACGGTAGATTTTCAACTCCTTCGTGTCCGTATTCATTATTTCCTTTTTTTATAATGCACGCCAGCCTGGTTTGTTGGAAATACGATGAAATTGCAAACAAAATATTGGGAATGATGGTTTAGATTGTATTCACGGTTGTTTTATTGTTACTTTGAAAAGTCGGAATATGGTTGCAAGTAGTTTATGAATCGTAATAAATTATCCGTGAAAGGTAAACACAATTGATGTCGTAGTAATGGCAAACACTTGCAAATAATTATTTGTATTCGTTATGTTCTATCAATAAGAATATATCAGTCGTACAAACAGTTTTCTTTTTTTCTTGATGAAACCAGAAATTATGTGAACGCGTTGAACCCATATTGGTCATGTACAATGTATAAATGTTTATGGATATATAATCTGTTGGTTAATTAATATAAGCATTATCAAACAAAATGTAAACGTTTTCGATCGTTGTGCTTTAGCGAGGTTGTGTGCGCTCAATTATTAATATCTTGAAACAAATTAATATTTGTTTTGGTTATTAGTTTATATTGAATTACTCCATGCTTGTGAAATGTTGTTTAGAAAATTTATACAAGAATTTTCTAATAAACAAACACGTTACTACATGATTTTGTTTATAAATAATTATCGATTCAAAATATTATCGTAAAGGAACAACGACAATTATTATTTTCTAAACAATTTTCTAAACAAACGTTATTGATTCAAGAAATCATCGTAAAAGAATAATTCCTATACTTAAAAATGACAATTATCGTTGTTCCTTTACGATAATTTTTTGAATCGATAATTATTTATCAACAAATTCATGTGGTGACATGTTTGTTTATTAAAAAATTTATACAAGAATTTTCTAATAAATAAAGATAGATAAAAACAAAGTAAATTTGACAAATTGTAATAATTTTAATAAATAATTTCAATAAATAATTATGCATACGATAGTCTTGCCATCAAAACCGTTCGTATAATTTTGTGGTTAGTCAATAAATAAAGAAAAATTGTACGACCACTTCTATAGTTTCGTTTTGAATAATAAAAACAGCCTGAAACTGGCGTGTACCGAAAACGCCACGGTGGGAATGAAAGGGTTAATGACAAACACGCGGCGGCTTACTAGCTCTGGCTTAATCACCCTCTGCGTATGCAGTTACCTAATTTCCATCCACTGTTTCGCAAAGCTTTGAATACATTCATTTAACCAGTCGCACCACTTATCATCCACGATTAACAACATTTTCCCGTGTAGCTTACGTTCGCGTTTGTTTACATACGTTTTATAAACGCCCTTCGTAAGAAACTCTTTCCTCTGTGTTGATACTGTTGTACCTTTTTCCATCGCATTTGCATCGAAGCACATACGATACTCAACAAAAGTTTCAGACCACTTACGGTGCGTTACATCTGTTACATTTTTACGGGTAAAGAAAGAGTACAAATTTACGCTTGCATATTTTATTTCACCAATGTTATTGTACAGCGTACCGTACGAAATAAGAGATAAAAATAGTACAAATTCAACGGAGAATGTAATATTTATTTATTTATTTCATATGATTTTTCAATTACTTTTTCTTCGAACTTTATCCAAAGAATCCCAGAGATGTTCAATAATCAAGGGGATAATTTAATAATTTAAGGGGATATTTTATTCTTCTACAGCGCCAATTTTTAGTCCTTGAACTGTGTTTTTTTTTTTTTTTTTTTTTTAATCTATAAGGAGTTTGTATAAAGTGTTTTGCATATATGTATATCTATTCACATTTGAAAAATATGCACAATTTTTTGCTGGTAAAAATAATCAAAATTAAATCAATATGGTTCTTTCTGAAAAAGTATGTTCAACGAATCTTGGCCATTCTGCTTATCTGAAATGAAAAAATTAAGAAACATTTTTATTATCATTAGCGTCGCTATGGCCCGTACAGAATAATTATAAAATATTAAGGACTGCAGCACTTCAAAGTTGGAATATTGTTTTTTCTTTCTTTTCTTTTCATCCTTAGTATATTAAAAACAAAATATTTAGAATAATCAGAATTTGAAAACCACGGTTCAGGTGATAAAGGAACGCGTGCTGAAGATTCGCTCCAAATTTGAAGTCATTCGGTCAACTAAAACTCGAGATACTATGGCAACCTTTTTAAACAAATTATGGCTAGAAGGAAATTGTCTTTAAAGTTTTTCTATAAATGCGTACTAAATACGTATACTTACGATTACGATTAAACCGAGATCCTCGCTTACTTGCTTCTTGAAAATGAATGTCGCTTTTGCACATTTTACGCATTACCAGAATTGTAGTAAAAACTGCAAAGAAATTTAAAATACGGTATCCAAACGAAACTGGAGATGCGTCGTTGCGGACATCGTTCTCTTTAAGACGTTCCTAACTTCGTTAATTTTTCGAAATCGATAAAATCCTTTGGCAGATACATTTTTAAAAATCTACACTTTGAGAAAACACAAAAAAGATTCGTATGTTGAAGGCTCTAGACTAAAATACTCCCTTAAATCGGGACTTTCACTGGCCGACAGATAACTTTTAATCTTTCGTTATCTTCTATCTATGTATGTATTTAATTATGCTCCCCTTCCATTTTTCCCATTTGCAGATTTTTTTTTTTTACAATTTCCTTCTTATATCTAAACTCGTTTCTTCTGAATCTTTTAAATACTTTTTTAAAATTCTATTGTACGTATATGCAGTACACTAGTATAGTATATAAAGTGCAATGATAAATATACAATTTCGTTCTTATGTCTAACCTCGTTCTCTTCTAAATCTTTTAAATAATTTCTTACAATTCTATTGTACGTATGTGTAGTACACTAGTATATATAAAGTGGAATGATAAATATACATCATATTTATTTCGTTAACACTAATTTATTTGAATGTGACGCACGCTTCATACGGTGGCCTAAGACTTTTGCACTGCATATGATTTGTTGTTTCACGTACTTACTCGCCTGCAAGAACAAACTGTTATTCTAGCGAGGAAAATGTGTGGAAGCTGTGTCAGGACGTAGCTACGAGACACGGATCGGAAATAAGTCATTGCTATGTTGCTTTCGTGAGCAACCCCTGGCGTAGCGTACCTCTATGGCGGCAACGGGCAGGAAAGGACGAGGACAAGCTCGTAGTTTGGGTCAGTTGGAATACGAAATCAATGCGAAGAAACCGCAATGTCCCGTTTAACCCTTTCGCTGCTTAATACGATTCTCGAATTCGATTCTCTGTGCCTCTGGAACAATCCGGAAGTGTTTGTTCATCGAGCCGAGTCTCGGTCGGAGCTGAAATACTTCGATTCGAAGCATAGATGAAGTTTTATCTCGCCTCGTACGCAGTGGCGGATTTATACAGAGACTAAATGGGCGGTGTCTAATTTAGTTAATGGAGTATTTAGTAATCATTTTGTACTAATTTATACCACAAAGAATAATTTTGTACTTTCTGGCATCTTAAAAAGAATCGTGGCGCTCCTTAATGTTAAGGTAGCAGGACCAAATTTCAAAATAATTAACAATGAATCGAACACAGTGGATAGATTTAGTTAGTGGAATATTTAGTACTCATTTTGTACCACAAATAATAATTGTGTACCTCC